CCTAGCTCAGCAAAGGCCCTGTGTTCAATACTTAGTACAGAAATAAATAAATAAATAAATGTGAATGATATCTAAACTAGAGAAAACTCCACGTTGGAGCCTGGGTTCGAGCTCCAGCTTTGCCAAGGTCATCCCCATCCCAGTCCTCTGGTGCCTCAGTCTCCTCACATGGTCACCCATATACTTTCTCCATTGCTGCTCAAACTGGCACCCAAACCCTCCACCCCAACCGTCAAGATGTGGAACTTGAACGCTCCTACCCTTGCATACTATCCAAGCTGGATCTCAGCACCAAAGCCCTCTCCTTTCCCACAGCACAACTAAACTCTTACACATCCCACAAAGCCCCAGGCTTTATCTTCTCCAAAACAAAAACAAAACAGCTCTCTCTCTCTCAGCATCCAGGCAGAGTCTGGGCCTTGATCTCCCACAGAATCCTCAGCATTTCCTTTCCACAGATGCTGGGGGGAAGGGGGAGCTCGGAAAAGTCCAAAGAAGAGGGCAAGAGTGGGGAGGCCGTGAGTCTGCAGGAAGACAGAGCCTCCACCACGGCTGCCTCCCTGTGGTTGAGAACAAGACTCTTCCTGGCCAGGGTGAGAAAGGAGGTCACCCCATGGTTGGGGTGTGAAGCTGAGGTCCCTGGAGTCTGCTGCCTACTTTCAGAGCACACACCGGTCAACAGCAGAAATCCCACAGTGGCTGGGTTGCAGATCTGTGGTGAGCACTCGCTTGCCGTGTGGAGGACCCAGGCTCCATCCCAGCACCCTCCCCAAAAAATAGACAATAAGCTCCCAGAAAGCCAGGAACACAGAGGCATTTCTCAACCCAAAGAAGGACGCCTACGAAAACTTTAGCTGACAGCAGACTTGAGGCCACCAGACTGGATTCTTTCCCCTTAAAAGGAGAGGGAATTCTCTGTGACCACTTCTCCTTAATACTGTCTGAAATCCGGGCTTGTTGACACAAGCCTGACATTCCAGCACTCTGGGAGGCTGAGGCAGGAGGATCACAAGTTCCAGCCCATGCTGGGTAACTTGGTACTTAGCAAAACCCTGTCTCAAAATAAATAATTTAAAGGGGCTGAGGTAGTAGGTCAGTGCAAAGGCCCTGGGTTCTGTCCCCAGGACAAAAGATGAAGAGGAGGAGGAAGAAAAAGAAGAGGAGGAGGAGGAGGAAAAAAATCTCCTCCCCACTCACTACATGACCTTCCTTTCAGTATAGGACACTTTAGAGAAACTGAGGCATGAGGGAGCACAAAGTGGACCCTCAAACAGCTCCAACATGAGAAGTCTGCTGTCTGCCCTGCCACGTCACTCTGCCCCTGTGGTGACAGTGTGAGCTGACTTGGTGGCAGGAAGTCTGTCTCGTGGTGGGGGTGGGAGCTAGGTGTCCTGGTTGCAGCTGGTGGGGCAGGGATGGGGTCCCCGGGCTGGGCCCTCCTGCTCCTGGCGCAGCTGCACGGTGAGTACCGGGGATTCTCCCTCTGCGCCCCTCCTGCTCTCCGCCTCCCCCATGGAGCCCTCCAGCTTTCTTTCTAAACACAGCGCAGCTCCCTGACACTGTAGGCATGGGGACTTCAGGGGGCGTCCTTAAGGGGGCCCTAGGATCAAAGAGTGATCCACGTGGCAGGCGGGGGTGCCCTGGCCGCTCTGGCTTCTGTTCTCACCCACCTCCAGGCGGCCTCTCCCTCTGCCTCTGCTGGCTTTTATTTCTCTTTCTTTGCCTTTGCTGAGCCTTCACATTAACCTACCTCCCCAGCCCGGGGTGCTGCTCTTTGGGGACAACTTGCAGAGTCCCAGGGCCCCTCTGCTCCTCCTGCTCCTGCCCTGAGTCCCCACCCCATAGTTGCGGGTCCCCGCCATGGGCCCCAGGGTGGTTTTAGTAAACTGGAGTCAGCAGGTGTTACTCAGTGGCGCCCGCTCGCCTCACACGCACGGGGCCGGGGCTCCATCCTGCATCGCAAAGGGAGAAGCGCACCTCAGACCGGACCCTGCTTCTCTCTGCTCCCTGTTTCCAGTAAACTGGCACCTTCCCCTCATCCCTCTGCCTCAGTCCCATGGCCTCCTCTCTACTCCTACAACTCACCAGGTTCCATCAAACCCCAGAGCCTTTATTCTGGTTTTTGAGACAAGATCTCTCTGTGTAGCCCAGGCTGGCCTCAAACTCACAGCGATCCTCCTGCCTCAGCCTCCTGAGTGCTGGGATCATAGGCTTACACCACTGTGCTTTTCTTTTTCTTTCTTTCTTTTTTTTTGGTGCCGGGGATCAAACTCGGGTCCTTGCACTTGCAAGGAAGGCCACCGAACCGCTGAGCTAAATCCCCAGCCCTGTGCTTTTCTCTTTTGTCCCTCTTGATCAGTGCTGTGTCTCCCACACTCAGCTGAGGGCTGGGCACATCCAAGAGTTCTGCCTGAACTCTCACAGTCGAGCGAGTTGTACCCATTTCACAGACTGAACCGCTTAGCCCCAGAAGGAGGATCGAGCCCACCCAAGGGCTCGGAGGGGAGTTGAGTCTCACGCACTCACTGGGCAGTGCTCACCAGCCTCGTCTGTCCCCCAGCCCTGCAAAGAGCCACAAGCCTGAGTGTGCGGCAGTGGCCTGTGTCCCTGAGGGTGACTGAGGGTGGTCAGGCCACCCTGGCCTGCCAGGTGACGCGGGTGCAGGCCTGGGAGTGGCTCCGCGTGGAGTGGACCAAGGACGTTAGCGTCACGTGTCAGCTGCTCCTTACCAAAGGCACCCACAGCCCTGGCATGTGTGGCCCCAGGGCTCAGCTGTCCTGGAGGGCACCTGGGGATGTCACGCTGCAGCTGAACCAGCTGACCCTCAACAACAGCGGGGCCTATGTGTGCCGAGTGACTGTGGAGATTCCGGAGCTGGAGAGGATGGAGGGCAACAGGACAAAGCTCCTGGTAGACGCAGGTAGGAAAACCAAGGGACAGGCGGAAATGGGAACAGTCTAGGTTTTCATTTTTATCTTTTTGTGGTACTGGGGATGGAACCCAAGGCCTCACACAGAGCTCCACCCCTGGTTGTTTTTATTTTTTATTTTTTATTTTCAGACAGGGTCTCACTAAGTCACTACGATGCCCAGGCTGGGCTCCAAGTTGAGATCCTCCTGCCTCAGCTTACCAAAGTGCTCGGATCACAGGCATGCAATCCCCCACACTCAACATATATTTCATTTAAATATACTTACCAATTACGTTCTCTTTTGTGTCTGCCTGTTTTACTCCACATGATATCTGAAAAATTCATTTCTACTGGTGTACCTGTGAGTGCCTCATCCTTTTTCCTGGCTATAAAGGAGCCCACTGTGTGATCATCTCTTCATCAGTCCAAAATCCTGTGCTGTGTACAGTCTGGTCTTTTATTGTGGTGAACATGTGTACCTTTTTGCTGTACTCAGGACAATTGTAGAATCTCAAACCATAAAATAATGCATATCTGGAATCACATTAGAAGACAATTCTAGGCTCTTTGAATTACATTGTCCCTAAGAAAGTGAATATTGTTTCTTAGGGCAAAAAGAAAGCCTCCTTGCTTTGTTTGGCTTTGCAGTCAGTGCTGGGGATGGAACCCAGAGCCTCACACATGGTAGGTAAGCACTCATCTCTGAGCCGAAGCCAGGGCTTTTCCTTCTGTTTACATATAAAAGCCTAAACAGCTGGGCGTGGTGGTGCACACCTGTAATCCCAGCAGTCAGGAGGCTGAGGCAGGAGGATCGCTGTGAGTTCGAGACCAGCCTGGGCTACATAGTGAGTTCCAGGTCAGTCTCAACTACATAGTGAGACCCTGTCTCAA